GAAGATATCTCCCTGGCGTAAGAAAAGTTAAATTTTTCCACCTTTTAGCCGACGGCTTTTATTTTGCTTTGTATAAAAGCGGTCACATCATTGGATGTGAGGTCAGGGGCTAGCCGCGAGACAAAAACTTGTCGCTTTGGTGGGACTCCCACCAGTGGCTTTAGCAAAGGCTTAGTACCTATGATGGCAGTATCCGGTGGTCCTGGACGTCTACTAGCTGGTGGAAGCGAAACTGATGGGATAGTTACGGAGTTGGGTGCGGACTCGACGGACACGGACGCTACAGACATTTCTAACTGCATACTCTCCGAAATGACGCATTCGGCTGCCGAATCTGCATTACCAGCAGCGATCGTTACCCTTGGAGTAGCAAACGTAATCAACTGCTGCACTAAGGGAGCGGTCGGAGTAAGTTTTTCGGATGCCGGCGGATGTAAAGCAGCCGGCACTTGCAAGTCCCGCGGAGTAGACTTCTTGCGCCTCGGAGAATCTTCCATCATCTGTAAACTACTGAACTGAGTGTCCATGGCCAAGAGACACTCCGCGTCTGCCTCATGAACGAACACAAGTCCTTTTCCACAACATAGCATTCTATTCTATAATTCTAAAAAATCATAAGCTCAAAAATGTATATACTGACTGAGTACGGGTATAAGTAGAGTCGCGTCCCCAGATGCAACTCAAACGTTCTTTCTCGTTTTAATTAGTTTTTTTACCTAACGCAAGCGCCTACGAACAGGTATCCAATGTCCCCGGTAAGGTGATCGATGTGCGCCGGAACCGTGGAAAAGGAATTTCGTTAATATATTTATGACGTAAGCCCCCTTGTGCCAGTCTCTTGTCTTTTGGCATGTGCTGATTTGTTTCCTTTTTGCTGGGTGTTGAGATCGTCATTTGAGAGCTTTGGTTACTTAGGTTTTGCTGCGGTGGTAGTTGGTTATATAATCTTGGCCAGCTCCTTTCCGTCGATTGGCCGCGCGTGTGATGAGTTCTCGCTTTTCTTTCTTCCTTTCTTCGGTCGACGTCTTTCTGTCTTTCGACCTGTGGGGGCTGGGCTGGGTGTCGTGTTCTTCGTGGCGATATTGGCTGTTGAGTTCTTTGGGGTAGGTCGTGGTCGTGAGTTTGCTGTGGTTGGTATGGGTGTCATGTTGGCGCTGCTGGGTGCCGAAATCGTTGGGATAGGTTGCGGACGAATGACGGCTGCCGTTGGGGGGTATGGGGAACTGATCTCGTATTCTCCGCATTGGATCGTTATTTCAATGGCGCATAGGAAGTCCATGCCGACGATAACTTGATCCAACATCTTTCGTAGGAGGCATTTGAACTTCTCTTTGATTCAGCCTGATGCGCCCCAGTAGAAACTGTGTGATCTCTCTGACAAAGCCGTCGGCCAGGAGTATGCGGTTATATGCGTCTTGCAATTTGGTTATTGCTTAGTTGTCGGGCGAAGTTTTCAGTTATGAAGCTTCGGGATGCCCCTGGGTCGACGGTGGATTCCGTTGCATGCCCTCCAATGGTTACTATCCTACAATGGTAACTATCCTCCAATGGTTACTAACCGGTTCTCGTTCAGCGGACTTTTTGTTCGCGGGTCGGGGGAGGCGTCGTTCCCGGCTGATCCCGTGTCATTCGAGGATACGAGTCGTTTCCCGACGTGTTCTGGCGACAGCAATCGATGGTCCTTGTGCCGCGCTTGCCACATTCCCAGCATAATAGGATCGAGGGATTTTGGCAGTCATATGCCGCATGCCCTGCTTCACCACACCGGCGACAGGCTGCGCGTGGATTGGCGATGGGGGTCGTGATCATGCGATGTGCTAGATCGTGATTTGCCGTACTCCCTGGCTTTGATGGCTGTCTCCTTGGTGAGTCTGCCGAGTCCCAATGGGGCTTCCGAAATGGTGTCCGATAGGAGTCGCCGCTCCTCTGCTCTGTAGACGGCCTTGCGTATCTGGGAGTGTGTCGTGGTAGTGCGAGAGTGGTCGGGATGGTCCGCTCTTGAATACTCTTGAACTCCGTGGCCAGCAGTGTAAGCTATGAAATGTCTTGAAGTTCGTGGCGGCGCACGTACATCTGTTATGCTGGTAGGGCGTTGTCGTAGATCCTGTTAAGTTCCTTAACCACGTCGTAACCTGCATGATGCATGAGTAGCCACATCTAGATGAGGAAATCTTTGAACAGTTCCCGGAAATTTTCCCATGAGCAACTTTATAGGCGGCTGGTGCGAAACTAACGACTGGCATGGTCTGTGAGGAGTTCGGCCATGGCCCGCGGCAGCTGGTTTTTGTCCACCCCATACGAGAGCGCGCGTTCTTCGAGCAGTTCAATGAACGATAGAGGGTCATCTTGGCCGTCAAACTGGATTCACCATTTTGGATTCGTTCCGTCATTGGTGCGGCGTGGTTGTAGTGGTGACCTTCCATGGGTCGGTCCATCGCTGGCACGATCCTAGCTAGAGGCTTTGGAAACGGGGCTGCAGGAGAGCGATATTCGGTCGCTGCGGGGACTCGTAATATGGTCATGGGATCCATTTGGCGAGTGTCGGATGGTCCAGGAGTAGTGGGCAGTGGAGACTTGGAGCGTGAGCGTGAGGCTGGTTTGGCATAGTGCCTCTCGAACTCTCCAAAGCGAGCCCAGGCGTCTTGCGCTAGTGGACTCGCGATGAGTGCGGAAAATTTCTTTCGGCGCTCATCGACTGTTCCTTCGCTGCCGAACGTCCCGACGGAGTTTGTGGATCCAGCCGGTGCTGACCCCTGGATTGGAAAAGTGTCCCGCATGGTATACCTCCTCTGGTTATTCCTCGTCGTTATATTACATGGATCGGTTTTCTTGAAAATTTCCAAACAAAATCTTTTAAAGTCCCTGCCCGGGCGCCACTTGTGAGGACCTATCTCAGGCTGGGATATGCATCAGTCTTTCCAGGGTACTGAATTACAAGATATTTATAATTCACGAGGACTTTATTTGGAAAACCAGGAACTTTGCCAGCAACAAAAATAGAATCAGAAATATAAATCACAGCACTTCTTGGTTCTTTGAATTTTAATCGGTTTCTTTATTCTTTCGGGTTATTATTTTGTTATTTTGTTGCGATCGCCTACCAACAAGTATCCAATGTCCCAGGTAAGGTGATCGGTGTGCACCGGTACCGTGGGAAAGAAATTTCGCTAAAATTTTTGAAGAATATTTATTTATTTAATATTATTATCGATACTTATTGCGTAAGCCCCCTTGAGCCGGCCTCCTGTCTATTGGCATGTGCTGATTTTTTTTCTTTTTGCTGGGTGTTGATCCCGTCATTTGAGAGCTTTGGTTACTTAGGTTTTGCTGCGGTGGTAGTTGGTTATATAATCTTGGCCAGCGCCTTTCCGTCGATTGGCCGCGCGTGTGATGCCTCGCTTTTCTTTCTTTCTTCGGTCGATGTCTTTCTGTCTTTCGTCTTTTGCTGCGTCTTCGAATTCGTTTGGGTTGATATCTTCACCTTGGAGTAGCGTTGGTTGCACCGATGGATTGTGACGAACCATGGGATCCATGGGATAACAGATGTAGCAAAAAAATGTAATATGTAAATTTTTTGTTTATTTCCTAAATTCTAAAAAATCATAATCTCTAAAATGTATATACTGACTGAGTACGGGTATAAGTAGAGTCGCGTCCCCAAAAGCGACTCTCACTTTCCTTCTCGTTTGTTTTGTTTTGAGGGTGCCAACTGATATAGCATTATAAATGAGGAATGGGCAAAGTGGGTGGGTTGAAAAATAAAAGCTGTTATTAGTTTGATCTATTTGAAACTGCACAATGAATATCGTGCAAATGCCGTCGGTTTTCGACTTTGTTGATTATATTATACAATGTACATATGTGATAAATAATTGATTTTAGGTAATAAATTCACAGATGTATATACAAATACCAATTCCTTGCATATATGTATGGATATAGAAAGAATGAAATATATATAGAAAAATACAATTTCTCTGAAAAATAGGAATTTATTAACAAAGCTTATATAACACACACACACACGCACAGGTTTGCAGTGCGTTTGTGTGCGTGTACAGCAGCAAAAACGGAACAGCGGCAGCGCAGCAGCAGCGCAAAAGTTAGGGCCGTGTCGAGCCCTTATGTATATATATGATAAATCACTTTGATTTTAGGTAAAAATTCAACATTTATTTATGTATATATATATATATATGTATATATATTATATATACCAATTTCGTGCATATACATATGTATGGAAAGAAATATGTAAATGGGCAGTTCCAATCTGGCGTTACGTTTCATTCGAACGGAAAAATGTTGAAAAAAAGAATGAAATTCAGAAAAAGGGTTATCCTTTTTGAATAAGAATTGGTCCTATATTCACCAAAAAAAAAGCAAAGTATGTGAGAATACATGGCACACACACATTTACGTAAACTTAAATCTCAAGACAAAATCGGTTTCGGCAGTTAAAAATTATTCTATGCATACAATCATATATTTTTTTGAGTTTTACACGTACAAACATACATGCTTGCTTTCAGTCGGCTCGTGCCGAAGACCTGGGTCCGTACGCTGAAACCTAAGCTGCGCCACATTCGTTGTATGAACTGGCACATCTATATACTGTATGGTTAGTGGTACTGCCTTGCGTACAGAGCTTAGAAAACAGTTTTTGCCCGAAAAAATTTCTTATCAGTTTCATACGAATATAAACACTGATACAGTTCGCGAGCTGTTTTTTCGGATCTGAGCCCTAGGCTTATAACCTGAACAACGATTCAAAGACGACGAGAAGAATAAGAACGACGACAGCAACTCGTGAGTTCGGGTGCGTTAAAAATTGAGAAGAGCAACGAGGGAGCAAAAAATTGGTATACGAAGACCAAAACATAGTATCTAAGACTTATTGTATCAATATTAACCAATAAAGTAAATAAAAACCCACACACAAATACATATAAATGGTTAAGATAAAATTTACATGCCTACGAATTAGTGAATAAACTTACCCGTTAGTTGAATTTTTCCGACGTTGTTGCTCACTACGGAATCTTGCGTTAACTTATGATGTGTGCGACAGCGATATACTTTTTGGGCATCACTTTTTGTTATGTTATAAACCAATAGCTCCCCAGTTAGCAACATATGATTTTTTCCATCTGTAAACCAAATGAAGAATAATATTTTAAGCATGAGTCTTGTTTTTATATTTTATTGATCATCAATTTTCCATACCGCCTTCAAGTGATGGGTAAATGTTGAAATTCGGCTCTTGTAGCCACGATGTTACTGTTACATACTCTTTTACAAACGAGGGAATTGTACATTTTATAAGTACATTGCTGCCAAGAAATCCACCGGGATTTTGTACTTCAGGTTCATAACGTTGATAAACCACTAAAAGTATTTAAGCAAAAGTCAATTTTTTTTCTATTCGTTATTTGTTCTGGTATATCAATAAATACATACAAAACATTTTTTTTACTGACCTCCAATACAATACACCCTTAGTTCTATTAGTTGATTATTATTATTATTAATACATATTATTATTATATTGTATATTTTCCTATCTGGCGCTACGTTACATTCGTACGACAAAATGTTATCCTTGTTGTATATGAATTGGTTAGCCTTACATTCACCAAAAAAATGGCAATAATCGAGCGTACGATTTTAAAGATATAAGCCAAAATATAAAACATAAAGCAGACGTGGTTTTCGATGTTGGGGTACAAAATGTCAAAATTCTTCGAATTGGGTATTGGGTACAAATGTATAAGTCGGCGAACGTTAATGGCGTGACGCTACCAAATTCCGTGATAATAAAAGCCAAAAAATACACTGTAAGACGAGGTTGGCCAAATGTTCTGATAATTTTTGTAGGTAGTAAGGAAAAATTTGTATCAAGAATCATATATTCCCTAGGAGATAATAGTAAGAGAAAACTACCAGAAAATACCAAAAACGTGAACTTTTGCTTATTTTAATAGGTTTTAGCACCCAAGCTAATGAAATAACTTATCAATAAAGTAAATTAGTTACATTTCAATACAATTTTCATGATTTTTGGCCTTGTGGGCCGTTTGGCGGAACTAGCTAACCCGCTCGCTTTGTTGCTTACTAAATGAAGTTAATGTTTAGGAATTCATCGAAATTAAACAATGATAACACGACACGATTTTTTCTCAAAAGAACTAAAACAACTGTTAGAGCACTACATTTAACGACGCCGAATTAATTCGCCTATACACAAAAAAAAGAGAAGGAACGTGTGAGTCGCGTTTATGGACGCGATTCTACTTATATACCCGTACTCAGTCAGTACATAAATTTGTGAGCTTATGATTTACATGTATGTATGTAGATAAAATATTTTTTGCTGTTATCTACATTTACAATGTCGATTCCACATCTAAAATGAAGATTATACATATACAATGTAGCCTCTAAATCTTCTCCGCAAAGTCCGCGCATTGCACAGGGCAGAGTGTGCGAGCGATAAAGAGAATGAGTAGCGTGGTCTCGTGCTTCATTCTGGCTATAATAATGATTCGATCCAATTCAGATTTAGTTCAGAACATCTGGTAGACATGGTCATTCTCTACAATAATGCGTTTTTTGTTTTCGCGAATCTTCAAAATTGCGAATGCCACAGATTTAGGTTCTTTGTGAAGTCGGAAGGGGGCGTGGCAAAATTTTGAAACAAACTTGATTCAGTGTGATATCACATGAGTCTGGAAACAAAATTTGGTCGCTCTAGCTCTTATAGTCTCTGAGAACTAGGCGTCAAACAAGACGGACAGACAGCCCTAGCTATATCGACACGGCTATTAATGCTGATCAAGTATATATATACTTTATGGGGTCGGAAACGTGTTCTTCTCTTTGAGTACGGGTATAATAAACGACCCAGAATATAATTTTTTTTCGACTTTTCCTCTGTTTTAAAAGTAAAAATTTGGTAAAAAAAATCATAATTTTTTCGTTGGAAAGCTTAATATTTCTCAGACGGTAAGCTGATGCTACAAAGTGTTCAGCTCTTCTTTATAGCCGCATTTATCAACTTTTAAGAATGAAAATTCATTACAACCAGAAGTAAGTTATGTGAAAAAAGCTACCCTTGAAAAAAGCATAAAAAAGAAAATAATTTTTTTTATCCGATTAACCTTTGAGGTGGCTCAGACGGGACCTAGTTGAGGCCACCGGACGTGTCGCAAGTTCAGGATAGGGAACGACCTACCCCGGTGGGTAGGTCAGCTGTGTATAAGCGGGCCTCCCAAAGAGAAGCAACTAAGTTTGCTCTGAGGGAGAGTACCGAAATCAGCAGTCCCGGACAGCCAGCGGGTGTTCGCGAAGTAGCAACAATGACGATGAGCTTTTGGTGCTGCCTCTCATTAAGTAGCTCTCACACTCCCATTCCTACACAATACCTACCAACATCACTACCCCAACATTCACCTCACACCGGGCCGGCTAAGGCTAAGGCCGGCATTCGACCCGTGCTAAGAGTCCGCCTGGCTGGGGGCCAGGTATAAAAACTAACCTAGTCGTGAACGGGGAGCTCAGGGACTTGGCAGCCCCTTTTCTAATGATGTCTTACCCTGGCAACGTGGATCTCTGCCCGGGCTGACCGTTCCCCTTCTCTGCAGTTCGTGGTAATAAGATGGATAACAAGCAAAACAAACAAAAAAAAAACACAGATAAAATAAATAAAAATGCTGACAGCGAGCAATCCCAAGACGGGAAAGGCAGCGGCCCAAAGGCCACCCCTAACCCGCTCAATCGCAGGAAAGTCCTGCTCGGTGGAAGACGCGGGTATGAACCCGGGTGGGTCCCAAATCCTTGGTGGGTTGCGAATCCTCTCCCAAGACTGATACCATGGGGAGGCAGCTAAGCAACATTGCGGTTGCCCGAACTTCAGGTGAAGTGACGGGAGATGACTTGCATCAACCAACGGCTAAGCCAAAAAGAACACGTAAGCCGAAAAGAGAAGTGCTGGGCACATACTCCGTCGGCAATACGCCAGCACTGATGCCAGCCCATCAGCAGACTGGCTAAAGAAGGTGGAGTTGGCTATGACAGTGCTCCCTGCCTTCAGCACAAATCCCCCGAGGGAGGCTCCTCAGCCAAGAGGCAGCGCTCCCAGGAGACTCTTGGACCCGCTGCGAAGCGCTCTGCAGCTGTAGCGCAAGTCGGAAAGGTCTACCTCGAAGCTCGTCGCTGTGGACTGAAGCGAAGTGCACAGTAGACCGAGGGCCAGAATATGGGGGCCCGCCTTAATGAAGGAGCCGGAATGCATCTTTAAAATGTTCTAGCGATGCAATCCACACCTTCACACCGCGGACTGGAAGGTTTTGAAAGTTAAGACGGCACAGGGCCCCAAAAACTCACCTTGGATCAACTCTGTGCTCATCGCTCGTGCGCCCTCTGCATCGCCTACTTACACACGCTCTGGAGCGCACAAGTGCAAGCTCCCTTGCTCTCACTCTCTGGATTTTGCATGCATTCTTCTTCAATTACTCTTTCGGTGTCTCTGCTGTCGTGAGCTTCACCGTTTTTTTTCGTCACCTCGCTGGATCGTCTGCCGCTGCTGCTGATCGTCGTTCGCTCTGCTGCCTGCTCTCTCATATAGCTTGCGCTCCGACTTTGCGTTCTTCTTCGTGCACAGTGATTCAACTGCTGTCAAAAATGGTTGTGGTCTGCAGTGCAAAGAAATGCGAATTCGGTGGCAACATAGTCAGCGATTAAATCCTCAGCTGCTGGCTATGCGACAATGTCGCCCATATAAAATGTGCTGGTGGTGGTAATTTTGGACGACTACACGATCTCATCTCAAAACGTATGGGTCTGACTTGGTCATGTTTGGCCTGCTGGGAGATTGAGACTGAAATGCGCACTTTTACGAGGCAGACTCGTACTGGCTTTCTGGATGTCCGGAAGATATTTGTCGCTCTCAACGAGAAGTTCCTGACCTTGGAATCTCAATTTCTTGGCCTCAGAATCTCCTAGACGGAAAATCTCTAACACCGATAACAACAAATTCTTGCAACCTATTGGAATCGGAACGCCTTCTTCTCACCTACATACATCGGCATCCTTGGCTTCGCCGAGTGGTCATGCCTTGCCGGAAATCAATCGGTTTCTCACACCGACTAACAATGTTATGCCACTCACTGTATCTATCACTGCTGACACCGCTGTTAGTGCTTCCAGTGTGCGTATGTGCTATGACGTCCCCACTGTTCCTGTTCCACCAGTATCAACTGAAACTGCTTTCGTTTCTGCCCCGGGACTCACTGTCCTCACTGTTCCTGCCACCGTTCCTGTTCCATCCATTGCTTCGGCTGAAGCTTCCCGATTCTCTTCTATCCAAAGCCCTGGAACCGTCCGAATGGCCTGAGCATTTCTGATAAGAAATTCTTCCCAGAGTCCTAGAGTCACTCTCCCTAAGATTTCAAAAAACTGAGGAACCATTTCGCCATCCAATATCAGAATTTACGCAGTATTTTGGGTAAATTGACCAAAATATATACGGATAGTGCCTCGACGCTATAGCTATAACTGATACCCGGCTTAACTCTTCCGTCTCCGATCATAAAATTTTCGTCCACAAGTTCACCACCTACAGAATGGATCACCCATAATTTGCTGGTGCGGTTCTTATTGCAGTAAAAAATGATTTTGCGTCCGAGCTGTTTCCCTTTAACAACACCCATGAAATTGAATTTGTAGCAGTCAAAATCCGTATTGGAGCGTCGTTAATCTTTTTAACCTGTTCATTAGGCTAAGCCAAAATTTGACCAAAAATTTTTTTCAAGGGAACACTTCCACAATTCTGTTCTTTGTTATTCAATAAAATTATACAATTTTTTTTTTGTTTATTGTTTGGGGGGTGCTAGCATTAAAAAAAAAAAATTTTGGGAAAATATACATTAAAAAAATGGAATTCGTCGGTTTTTTCGAAAAAATATTGAAACTTAGAAACTAGTTCATATTGATAAAAATGTATTTTTTTTTTAGTTACTGTAAAAAAAATAACGATTGTTGAAAATCAAGAAGTTCATCTGATGTTGATATATTTAGTTAACTTGTTTGCAAAAAATTGTGCAGGTTTTTTACTGCCAATGACGATATGAATGTTATCAATATATATGCAATAGATTTCACCAATTATCCAACATTTTTGTTTAAATTCGGTAGCAACCTATAAAAAAATTTAAAAAAATAAAAATAAAAACATGTAGATAACTATTAAATCCAAGGTAACAAACTAGGGGGTGTCCCGTGAAACGAATTTCACCGATTTAAGCTTACATTTTTTGTAAATAGGTTGATTGGTCATTTCTTAAGTCGTTATCAGATATAAATGGAATAGTCAACTCGTTTTATGACAC